TCTCAACCCCACCTTTTGAATTTTCCCTCCTTTTTGCCATTTTTCAAATGTCGTGTAATCTATTTAATTCTCGGCGACAAATGAAATGGCCACGGAGAGCTTTAGTGAAGTAAACTCATTTTAATTAATTAAATTTGCTTTTTTTCGTGATCCCCTTGACCAATTAATATCATTCAATTAATTAAGGTTTTTAGTTGAGATAATTTTTTTTTAGTTAGAGTTAAAAAGTTTTTTTATCTCAACTTAAAACCTTAATTAATTGAATTATATAAAACAGCCAAAATATTTCAACTTATTTAAAAAAAAAAAAAAACATTTTGAGGTAGTTATTATTCAAGTTGACAAAAGCACACATCAAATAAATAGTCCATTAAACGAACGACGAAGTCGAATCTTCGGAACTAACTAACGCAGTAAGTAAAAGCCACCGAACTTAACTTAACTCACTTTATTTTTTTTTTTTTTTTTTTTTTTTTTTTTTTTTTTTTTTTTTTTTTTTTTTTTTTTTTTTTTTTTTTTTTTTTAAACGAGGTTTTGCAACAGCAGAGGACATATCAACCCTCATAGTGCCGGTGTTTATGAAAAAAGTCCATTTGTATGTCAGACTCGAATGCAGAGCAGCTGGATTCGAACCCGGGACCTTTACCTTACAGTGATGAGCAAAACAGTACACATTTGATAGTCATTCAACTGATTATTGTATTCAATGATTATTTATTAGTACTTACATGTTAAACCAACCATGTTTCCTGATTTGTTGTTTATGTTGTTCTTTATAATATAAGGAAGAACAGGTTTCCAAGGCTGACAAAAACTGGGATTGAATCATGCTGGGAATGTGGTCAATCAATTTTTTAAACCTTTTAAATATATTCTCTTTTGCAATTTGTAAACATTATCTGAGTCAATAATATCAACAAAACGTGTAAAAACTCATACGTCTCAGGAATAAGGGTAATGAAAAAAAAAACAGACTATCAATAAATTTGTTTTACTATAAATTTAACTACAATTACCATATTTTGTGCTACAGAAAAGAAATTTTAAATAATTACAATAGTTGTTTTGTCAATCAAATAGAATAGAAATAGAAGATACAATAAAAGGGTAAAATCCATTTTTTTATACCACTCGTTTTTTATCTTTTTAAACTCTGAACCTTACCTCCAACCCTACAACATACTAGATGTTCTAAAAAAACAAATATAATGTTCAAAATAAATATCGGCGAAATCTCATAAAATCTTCTTTTGTTCTCTTTTAGAAAATACGAATATTCTTTTTTTTATAATTACAAACCAGTACAAAAATATAGTCATAGAGATGATAATAAACTTTTTATTTAAAATTTTATTATTGAACGTGATAACAAATATACATTGATTTCAAATATGTACTATATCTTTTTTTAACGAATAAATTGATAGGCAATAAAAAGATTTATAATTATATTTACACTTTTATATATAAAAAATTTTACTGAGACAGTTTTATTTTTAATTTGATGCATTATGCAAATGTGAAATCATTCTAAATGGAAAAATACAGATTCTTAATAGAAGTGAATGAGTGAGAACAAACCACAACCGTTTCTTATCCCCCGATATAATATAAACATAATGTTCCAACACACACAATGTTTCTTTTTTTTATTTTCAACAAACGTCAATATTTTTGAGCATAAGTTGCAAGTCAAAATATCAGATTCAGTTTTATCACATAAAATATCATTAATTTACCTTATGAAAGAGTAGTTTATGGGTGTTTTTAAAAACGAGGAAACCGGAGTGCTAATTTTTATTATTATTATATTGCGATTGGTCCGTGTGAACTTGGAAAAAAGGAAAAGGGACAAAGCGAACTTCGCGAAAAATAGCACACGCCTGCTAAGATGGTAGACCTTCCTTCTTTACACGAAATTTTTAGAATTTTTGTACGCAATATTGTTTCATGTAATTTTATTTTTAACTTTATTATCTTTAAATTCTAAATTGCTAAATTCTAAAAATTGCTGGACTTTTGACTTTGTTGGTAAAGAAACCGTAGAAAATTTACAGAAATCCTTAAAAATTTACATTATAGAAACACAGTGCTGTCACACTTTTGAACAAATAACAAACAAAATTATAAAAAAGTTTTATCTTTCAAGTAAAAATTTTTATATTTTACAACTTCTATATAGGAATTATACGCTATTATTGTTTTAGTTTACATTCGTCTAGTGACATATAGAAAATGTTAGAGGTGAAACTACTAGTGTTGGAAGTTCCTATGGATCCTAATCCAATTCTAAGTGCGCTAAAATAAGTCTGATTTAATTTCTTTTTGGTCGAAAAAAAATTAATGATTAAAAGTCATTTTTAAGCGTCAGAAACAGGAAAATTTAACTATTTTTAAAATAATTGTGGTATTTTTTCGTTTTCTTTATAACAACTGTACGAAAACAGTACTACAAATATTTGTTCATTTTATAAAGAAAATATTTATTTTCAGTATTGATTGGATTATGCATAGATCAAATTTTGTCAAAAACAGAAAACGTAGAAGACTCTAATTTGGCATATACCTATGCTACTTACTATCTATAGCTTATAGAAATAGGAATCTATAGCCGTGTGTACCTCGCTGTAGCCTAATGGTTTCGCTTGAACGCAAGTGTTCCAATATTTACACATAACGATACCGAAAAATGGTATAATTTAAACAAAACATCAAATGAAATATAAAAAATAATTTGATCAAAATATGAGGTCTGTATTTTTATGTTGTTCAGGTAACAGTCGTTATGTGATACGATAGATTTTTAAACCACTACATTTGTATTGAATATTAGTATAGTAGGTAATTGAATTAACTATTGCAGGCTTTAAAATTACAAGTATAGCATTCCTGGGCCCTGGCCTGTGGATGCTGGAAGAAGGGAAAAGGTCCAAACTGACCAGGTCGCATTGGTCACACTAAGATCACACATGTTGCGGATTATGAAGCATAAAAAAAATATAGAATATAGCAAAAGAGAACTAATGCTCGGCCTTAGTGCACAGCAGTAGGTGTAGAATATATACCGGGGGACCGCGGTAGCTGAGTGGTTAGCATGAGAGACTCTCACGCCGTGGTCGTGTGTTCGATTCCCACCTTCGCCTCTGGCCCTTTTTTCCCGATAACCCCCAATTTGAACAACATATATAAGAGATTCGTCATGGCTAATATGCAAATATCATAAGGCCAATTTAAAAAAAAAAAAAAAAAAAAAAAAATTACCTCAGGGCGATATAAAATATATAAAACGGTATAAAGGTCATTGTACGTTTGTTTTTTGTAAGAAATTTATTTATTAGTGAGAATGGAGGGGTTAGATAGCTTGATCTTCAAGGAATAATGAGGAAAGTAATGAGATATTTGTTGTAAGACTGTATTTATTTGCTTGAATTAAAAGGGAGAAAATAAAAAGTTCTTATACGTGCCTTGTAGTGAGTGAATGCCATTTACCAGTGTGAAATGAGATACACCGAGTAATATCAAGTCCTCTGGAGCATTGCGAATGAAGTCTCGTAGGATGCCATTTATAAGCGAGACTTGAGAGGCTTTTTACCCATATACGCTAAAAAATATGGAGTACTCAGAGGTAGTGTGAAAAAGTTTGGTGTGTTAAGTAATTTATCAGCTTGAATTAAGGGGTTCTTCAATCATCTTGAAGAATATCGAATACTCCGAAACAGTGTGAATGAAGTCTGGTGTGAGAATGTGATTTATTAGAAAAAGTGTCTGAAGTTGCTTCTTTAACAGACACAATATATCCCGGAAGGAGAGACAAGAAGGAATATTGAGTACTTAGGAGCATTGTGAATGAAACATGATGTGTGTGCAATTGATTAGCAAAACACTAGAAGCTTTTTGAGGAGTACTCTGGGCAGTGTGGATAAAGTTTGATGCATTAAAGTAATTTATTAGCTCGAAGAATAATCTATTTTCCAATCATCATGAGGATTATCGAATACTGTAGGAAGGTGTGAATGTAATTTATTAGCGTAAAAGAAGAGGCTTCATCATCAATAACCACGAAAAATATCGAACACTCTGGGGCAGTATGAACGAAGTCTGGTTTGTTAATGTAATTTATTACCATGAATGAAAGAGCTTATTTCCCAATCACCCTTGGTAATATTGGGTACTCTGAGAAGGTGTGAATGAATTGAAGTGAATGTAATTTATTATTCAATTAATTAAGGTTTTTAGTTGAGATAAAAAAGTAGCGTCACGAGCGGGATTCGAACCACGACCTTCGGCTTGATACGCTTGAGCTATCGTGACTTCGATCCTCTCGGGCACTAACTTCCCATCTCAACCCCACATTTTGAAATTTCCCTTCTTTTTGCCATTTTAATTAATTGAATTGTGGTCAAGCGGACCACGAAAAATAGTGAATGTAATTTATTAGCGTGAATGGAGGAATTGTTTTCGTAAATAACCCGAGGGGTATCGAATACTCTGGGGGTGTCCGATTGAAACTTTGAATGTGAATATTGTACTGATCAATAAAATTCGAGAAGTAAAGGAAAAACCAGAAGTAAAGAATGTGAAGGTTAAAACTATTCACACTATTTATTTATAAATACTTGCCTTTATTTGCTTACTTATTATTTAAATTTGTAATTTTTAATAGCAAACAGAATATTCAAGGTTATTTAAAAATTTGCACAATGGATAATCGATCATATCAGATCATCATATTCTGCTTATTCTAACATGCTGTTTTTATTTATTCTCGATTTTTAAAGATCGTTTTGTGAATTTAAAAAAAAAATTAGACCAGCATGACCGGGGAATACTACTTGTAAATAATCAATCTCGGATCACCAAAACCGTCAAATTTTACAATCATATAATAATAACAAAGAAAAATTATCCATTTTTTAAATGATCGTTATGTGTTTTTTTTAAATAAAACAATTTAATATTTTAATACTTAAAAGTGTTATTTTTTGATAGAGAAATATAAATTTAGAACCTTATTAACTATGTTTTGTTTAATTTATGTACATATTGCAATTTATTGCTTTTAATGTTTCCACAGATCCCATCACCTCATGGTGACAAAATCGTCGTTTGATTGTTCCGCATCAAAGTTTATCTTCTAGAAAAGATAAGATAAGGAGAAAAAAAATTTTTTTTTGCTAATTCTTAGTAAAGCTTCAAGTTCATAGCTGGCTTGGGAAAACATTCTAATATCCTGGCTGATCATGTCCGACTGCACAATTTGTATGTTCAACGTTTACATTCTTAAGAAGTACGAAGGCAAAAGGTGAAAATGGACAATAAAAATTGTTTCCATTGGGAATTTTTTTATGTATGCTCCGTTTTCTAGGTTTGACCCAATTTTTTATGTTATTTATTTTATTTTATGTAATTAACATGTGAAACAATGTAAATTTATACTATAATCACGGCGGAAGAAGTTTTAGCGACTATACGGACACTTGTCATTAGTTGGTACAGTAGGCAAATAAAGAGTATCAAGGCATCTAATAGAAAAATCGGCTTTTCTTGCCAAAAGGCCTTTCTTTTTCAATGAAAGCCAAGGATATTTTCCTCAAAAGGTTTCTTTTCCAAAACCGGCCGTTCAGTCGTTGCGACCAGTACTGGCAACCGGCACCTGGGTCCATTCTGGATGGTCGCCGGCAGCTGTGCAATGCTTGATCCAAGCAAGACGTTTTTCAACCGATTCCTGGGGCAAAAGGGGTCTTTCCGGGCTGGACAGCCTTTCCCGGTTCCGTTTCAGGCTCTGCTCCAAACGGCGTAGGAACCTGGCAAAAATGCAAAACAAAACAGTCAATTTTCACATTAATCCCATAATGAAAAACAACCTCACCGTCTTTTCCCCATAGTTTTTCCTACTTTTTATAACCAAAAATAGCAAACCAAGCCACGTATACCATATTGGAACTAATCTATTAAAAACTAAACTCATCCTTAAAGGAGGAAATGTGAAAAGAAAAACATTCATTCTATCATTTTCTATTACTATTTGTTCAAATTAGCACTAATTCAACTTGTATGACTGACGATCTGTAATATAAACAACTAGCAAGCTGTAACCTCTAAAATTTTTACCATTACCTATTTTCATTCCTGTACGAATAAAATCTGAAATATCAAATTATTATTAACAACATAAATCTTCGAAGGACTAGGTACTAGGTTGTAACAAAATTATGTGCTTTTTTTGAAAGTTACATGGATAAAATGTCTTTCATATCAAAAAATGACAATACAATAAACCCTGATTTAGTTCGCCGTATGATTCAAAATACTAGGTACAATGATATGTTTATGTAGGTTAATTATTGGAGCTTGTTTATGCCAATGTAAACAATTTTTTATTAATAGTCATTAAAAAAACAAACGAAAATTTGTAAAAATAAGAACAGGCTGGAGGGAGAGAAACACGTCATTTTCCAGCGAGTCGTCCTAAAAACGACCAGTCGCTCTCAGGTATTCATCATGTCCGTACAAACGTATTTTTGGGTTTCGTCCGCCGAGTGGCTCCCAGACTTCTTCCTATCCGGTACGCACGAACGTATCTTTGGCTTTCGTCCGGCGAGTGGCTCCCAGACTTCTACCGGTAAGCACGAACGTATCTTTGGCTTTCTTCCGGCGAGTGGCTCCCAGACTCCTATCCGGTACGCACGAACGTATCTTTGGCTTTCGTCCGGCGAGTGGCTCCCAGACTTCTACCGGTAAGCACGAACGTATCTTTGGCTTTCTTCCGGCGAGTGGCTCCCAGACACCTATCCGGTACGCACGAACGTATCTTTGGCTTTCGTCCGGCGAGTGGCTCCCAGACTTCTACCGGTAAGCACGAACGTATCTTTGGCTTTCTTCCGGCGAGTGGCTCCCAGACACCTATCCGGTACGCACGAACGTATCTTTGGCTTTCGTCCGGCGAGTGGCTCCCAGACTTCTATCCGGTACGCAGGAACGTATCTTTGGCTTTCGTCCGGCGAGTGGCTCCCAGACTCCTATCCGGTACGCAGGAACGTATCTTTGGCTTTCGTCCGGCGAGTGGCTCCCATACTTCTACCGGTATGCTCAAACGTATCTTCGGATCTTCACTATGCCGTGAGTCGACACAAGACGTACGAACGTCCGAATTCTTTGTCCTAACTTTGCGTAGGTCAAGTTTCTGGCCAGAATGTTGTTTCTTTGTTTATATCATAAACTGCTAATTAATAAAGTTATATTCAGTAACACAAATGATTATTAGATTCCGGTGTTGTTTCGTAGAGTCGAGACGATGGATCAAGGTCGAGACCGTGTGTGTTGTCCCGTTGGTTGGTGGTTGTATGTGAGTGAGTAAACCTTTGGCTGAGGTCCGGGAGCCGTGAGTCGAGGCCGAAGGTACTGGAATGCAGCAATTAGCCGAGAGCAGCAGTTGGCGTTTATAGCATAGTCGGTTGTGTTTAGAAGGCGAGAATTAAGCTAATACTGCGAGTACCCTTGATGTCTTCGACGGTGTGAGAGCTCGTCGGGTTGACGAGTCTGCTGTCGTTATTCATTAACGATGAGTGAAACCTCGTCATTTCGACGAGTCTTCAGATACAAGCGAGTCTGTTTTCAGTGCCTACTTATATTTGGAATGGCTCTACTCTGATTGGCTGCAGAGTGGAGGGCGAGAACATTCCATAAGTGGTAGTGGCATCTAGCGGTAACGTGGTAACTACAAGTGGCCACTACAGTCACATTAAACCCTTTACGCAACAGCGGGCAACTATCCCAGGTAGCGCCAGGACTAGGTAGGTAGATATACAATACTTTATCCCGCCAGCGTCTACAGAACAGAGCTAGGTCTGGTTGTACCCTGTAGATTCTCTTCGTTACACAAACCTTTGCATTTTTAGGTAATTTTTGATTTGACCAAGTGAAAACATGAGTAACAACTTAATGCTTTGTATGTTATATGAACTATAGTTGAAATGCATAAACTTTTGGGACAGAGAGCTAAAATAGCTCAAACATTTGAATATTATAAAATATAATAAATCCCATAAGTAAGGTGAGTTATGCTCAGTTATTTATTCTATCTGAGGTTTAATGCGGTACAAATATTTAGAGATTGTATACTAAGGTGCGAGGTCTGGTATGCATGCTGTTAATTTATATATTGTACAAGGATATAAGGTTTTTAAAATTTCACTTGCGCCTATTTGTGCCATGTAGGTATAGCAGCTAATGTCACAACTTCCAATGAATAATTTTGGTTTCGCAATAGTGACGTATTAAAAAATGAATGATGAACCAAATGCTGGTTCCCAGAATGAGACACGCAAATAACATGAAATGATTGAGATTGGTGAACAACCAGTATAAAACTCTATTATGGTAAATCTCCTGCCTGGACCCTTCTAATAAGGTGTCCTGGACAGTAGTTCCGACAGTACTCTGAAAACTTTCTGGACTACTGTGGGACCGTATTAATTTTAGGCTGACAAGTGAGTTCTAAAAAAAGGCCACAATAGATCTTATTATGCCGAGGTGAAAAATGTTTTGCGGCCACCTCTTTTATCCCTGTCCAAACAAGATGAGCTTCATGCTTAAATATTTTTTCAAATAAAAACCTTATCAGCTGTCTTTAAACAGAGGTCTTTTACGTTCAATGAGCGATTGTTGTGCCAGTAATTAAGTAATTGCAGATTATGACAATAGCTGTTTAGAAGTAAAAAAATTGTCAACATGACCAGCATTGACCTTATTTTATGATTTTCAGTCTTAATTCAAGATCTGAGCTAAAACTAAATATTGGTGGTCTGAGTCTAATCTATATTATAATATCAGTAACCCAACACTGTTATTAAAAGACCTAGATATTCAGATCTTCAACTTCTAGATAAAAACTAATCAAATTATAAAGAAGAAAAAATGCACAGATTTTTGTTTCAGCTTGATAATGAACTACTTTGACAAAGATAATAGCCGAGGAGCAGGCTGATTCTTCGAGTTCAATACTCGTGTTGTCAGTTATTTTCAACAGATCGCTAAAAGTAAATAAGTGAATTCTGCCGAAGAAAGTGAACACTCTAAAAATAAGAGACATATATTAGCACTGTGTGTGCAACAAAAAAACTGGGAAAGGAGGTACATACCATTTAAAACAAGGAGTAAGTACTCATTGGCAGTATTTCTACGATAGTTTGCTATTTAATTAAAAGCTGTGTCACAACTACTGTCGCTGTCTCTAGATAGGATTTCGTCGGGATGAATGTTTTTGGATATGAGAGCAGATGGTTGGAAGGGTTTTATGAAAATTGCAGTAAGGAGAGTAGATTTTATCTCGCACTAAAAGAAAAATTATGTATGCATGGGTTTTCATGCCCAGGCCTCAAACAATACTTGATACGTTTCGCGACAAACGCTCGAGAACAATTTCTGGACGTCTCCTAAACATTCTGATTCCTACACTATCGGGAAAGCTCTGCAGGCAACTTGAAATTGAGGAAAGATGGACATGCGAAGTCCTACCCCACATAATCTTTACTCTTAAATTTGAAGCCATTATTAATAAAATATAATGCTGCAAATTAAAAGACTATTCGGAATTCTCTCCTAATACACCTCAGATGAACTTTTTGTCTGGCATAAACACCCACCTTCCGGATTTTCTCTTGATTTACATGGATGGCTCACTTATGAATGGCAATTTGGCTGAGTGGTTTTTTCGACTAAAAGAATAAACATTGGGAACAACACCCAAAGTATTTTTCTCAGTTTTTTAACAACATTGTACTATCTTGAAGACGTTAAAAATATGCAGAGGACTTCGACTCGACCAAAATATGCATTCTGATTGGCAGTGATCCACCGGGTAAAAAAGATTACGATCTCTGCCGTTAAAAAATAAAATTTTACGATTGCTATTAGATCATAATCAATGTAGTAAAAAAATTAGACCTGATTATGCAAAATAAAGAAGAAATAGTAGTTTGGTGTTGAAATGATTGTTTGAATGAAAGGTCAAGGGCATATGGCACAATGAGACCCATCAATAGACTGGCAAAATCTGCCTCATTGAACGGTACCATGACATACACCTTTCAGTAAGACTTTCAAAATTACATAAAAAGAAAGTTACACAAAGGCGATCTAAGTACAATGTGGTGGATGGGGGAAAGCACTCTTAATTTAATAAAAACCTGGTTTGTTTAGGCCAGGATTAGGTAAAGTAAAGTATTTTACACTACGATATCGCGATTACGAACCAGCCATAGTATATGATAAACCGTACTAATCTCCCCAAAATGTCATTAATGCGAGAGGCAGATAATCTTGACCACATCTTGCTGGGGTGCAAGAAATTTGAGGCCCAGTGGGAAATAATGATGACCTTAATCAAGCTCTTTGATAGAATGTCCATATAACCATGAAACATTTCTGATTTCTGGTGACAGTGCCTATGTTGCACAATTTAAATTTTGTGCGTTTAAAGTTTCGATATGACCCATCATCTTTCTCTCCTACTAACCTATGATAAATAATCATTTGAACTACTATTGTATTCCCTTTATCTCGTGGCAATTTTCAATTTCCTATTTATTTGATCCTTTCCATAAGCATGTAAATGGTTTTAATCCTCACTTTCGAAAAGGTATCTGTTTTCTCTCATAAATGACAACAACAAATTGCGTGTTAGGTAAACCCATCGGTGCCACCCTGTTGGTAGCGAGTCGAGGTTGCCATCTACCGGGGATTTTTTAGACTCTGTAGGCAATTACCATGAAGCGTCAAGGAGGTTCAGGGTACGCATCGAGCACGTTGGATGCGGCAGGGATTGGATTGTATGAATGGACCTCACACTTCTCCTTAAGCCCATTTATGTTTTACTAATCTCTGGCTATTAGGCAATTGCCGTGAAGCATCAAGGAGTTTGGGTACGCATCGAGCACGTTGGATGCGGCCGGGATTGGATTGTATGAATGGAACCACACATCCCCTCCTTAACCCTGTTGTGTTTTACTAATCTCTGGCTGTTAGGCAATTGCCATGAAGCTTCAAGGAAGTTCAGGGTACGCATCGAGCACGTTGGATGCGGCAGGGATTGGAATGTATGAATGGACCTCACACTTTCCCTCCTTAAGCCCATTTATGTTTTATTAAGTTGTTAGAAGGCAACCATATATTCAAGTGAACCAAGTCGTCTATAATGAAACGAATAGCCCTTTTTGGCGTCATAATTTTTTAAATTAGTCGTGTACGGGGATACTTCATTTCCCGTTTGTCGTTGAACAGTTTTAGGTAACGAACCTTGCCCGCTGTTTTGAGGTAGATATTATTAAAATAAACTGGAAGAGGGATCTTTTCCTTGACACAGATAGTTACAATATTATCTATATAATTGGGTGTTTATGCCGATGTTAAATATTTCTAATATGAATATATTTCTAATAAAAATATAGCTGAACCGTCTGCAGAATGAGACGTCAGTGGGGTGGTGTCACCTGGTGGTGTGGACCTGAACTAGATCAAAGATTGCCTGACTTCAACAAAATGCCTTTGAACGAAACTGCCCCCAACTGAAGGTATGAGGAGGTAATGTCTAGATGCGAGGAAATTTTTGAATAATTGAGTGACACAAATTGTTGGCAAAGAATTAAATGTTTAGAATTTAAGATTGAAAGAATTATTGTCTTCTATTTTCTTTTTGTAGAAAGCCAAGAAGAAAATCATATTTAATTTCATAAATCAACACATTAAATTTTTTTGGGTACTTATGCGTCTTATAATTTATCTGGGTTTAGTAATCCATTAATGATTATTTTGATTTATATTTGACTAGTTTTTATTTATGGTTGATTAGTTCATTATATTTGACCTTAGAATATAAGATTAAAAAAATCATTTCTGAGGGATTGTACCTGATCTGGTGACCGATAGCCCTCATCCTCGAAATCTTCTTCAGTCCCCTGCCCCCTTCGGTATTGTCAGGAAGCATTTTTGACGTTACGTCCTGAAAAGAGAGAAGTCTAAATTAGTAAAATACCAACACTATTACATAGTTGTAAGTAGTAGTAAAGTCTGTAAGAAAAATGAGTGCGCAGACCCCATGCAGACCAATCATAAATGGAGACGCATTGCCAGAAATTGTTGAATACAAAAAGGAAAAAAAACATGCGTGAAATGCCAAAGAAAAGTACAATGCATTCCGAAACGTACAGCAACACATTAAGAGTTCTAAGCTCATTTTGAAAACATAAATAACATAGAAAAAGAAAATGAGCCTTATTTAAAAATAATAATTTTAAATAGACGTGACAATGATTAAGAAGGTTAGAATTTAATCTGAAATAATTTTTTAACGATAGGACAGCACTGTAACCATAAAATAATAAAAAATAGTCATAAATTGTGTCAACACCTGTATTCCTCTTTACATTATTACTGAGATGAATTTGGGTTTTTATTACATGAGTCGAATGCTGAGGTCATCTGATGAAGAGTCAACTCATTTACTTGGAACTGGTGGCATGCAAAACACAAACGGAAATAGTCGTACAATTAGTAACATCAAGACTGATAGAAGACGGTTTTACAAAAACATGGAATGAATCGGCAGGAACATATTAAAATACACATACATTTGTAAAAAGGTATACATATTTGAACGTTTGTGCATTGTACAACGGATATACAACATACATAATAACATGGGACAATACGTCTCATTTTAAATGCAATCCAACAAATTTTCTTTAAAAATATTTATATTCATTTTTTCATTAATTTATGACATATATAATACAGAATAAAAGGAAACCTACTAAATTGACTTTTTAAAAAGCTATGCTAGGCTAGAAAATGTGTTTGTTCTAGTTAATATTATTCAGTTTCGTTTCACTACTGCCTTGTTTTCAATTCGTCATAACGAACAAAATATGAAAAAAATTTAAACATTTTAAGATTTATTTTAAAGCGCAAGGTTTGGAATTTGGTTTCAGTTATGTTAACATAACGTTATGTTCAGTTATGTTAACAAGATGTTGGAATGCATGAAAAGAAAAGTGCGTATCTTTACAAAGCCCGCCACTTTAACTGACAAAGGCTATCTACAAATTATTTACAAATCAATATGATTTTTGTTGGTTTTTACAGATATATTCTTTCGAAATGTGATTAATTGACTTTAGCACATTTGAACCAATACTCCATGTTACTTACTTCTGTATCATCGGCTGAGTCTTCTGTTGCTCTTTCTTTGTCTTGTGACCAATGACCATCGGCGCACGAGTTCAGACTGTCTGCTAATTTTTCCCTGCTTAGACAGACAGTCACGTCTCTGGAAAAGATATATATATTTTACAAAAGAATTGTTTGAATGGTGATAGGGTTAAAATTTTAATAAATCATTTTACCGTATGGAGTTCAAACTTTCTGCGGAGGAGGAAGAACTTGAAGTAATTGGATGTGGCAGTCGCGCTCTTCTTTTCGGACTTGGTTTTCCGCTTTTCACGTTTATCTTAAGTGGTTCACCTTTTCCGGGAACTTCAAGGTGCACCTGTGATATCTTTGTCGGGGATTTGGATCTTCTCCGCTCTCTTTTCCGGCCAGAGGAATGCTTGCGAGACTTGAAGGATGGATCCGAACTGATACAGTCGTAAAGACCATCCGAGTCCGTGAACCTGCCGTAGAACATAGGCGAGAACCGCCCCAAGCCGGTCTTATCGCTCAAGGGGCTCTCGCTCCTGGAGCTTACCGGGCTGTAATTCTTCTCGGTATGCGGTTCTCCATCGACCAGGATCGATGGAAGTTGGAGGGTCTTACTGTGCCTTTTCGAATCCAAGCATTCTTCCGCAGATCCAGTGTGCCTAACAGGAGGCGGCGTTATTCTGTACTTATCAAGACCCGCTTCTACACTGGAGCAGTGTTTGACTCTATTTCTCGTCCTGCAGTTTTCTAAAAGTTCGAAGCTAGAACAATGTTTGACAGCTGAAGGACTTGTTAATTTAACCTTATCACAATCGTCCATGAACACTTCGAGTTCTTTCGCACTTTTCAATTCACCGTCTTCAATTTTTTCTTCGAGCTGATCCGTCCCGAATCCTTCATCGTTGGATTCCAATTGGGGATCGTCGGACATTGTTTCGGAGTCGGACCTGCCGCGGTGTTGGTCAGCGTCTTCCGAAGGCGCTCGCAGAAGAGGGGACGGCCGACGCGGAATGTGGTGTTCTTCGTCGGTGGGGCATAAAGGATTGTTGCTCCCGCATCTAGACGGGCCGGGACTGGCCATCGAACTGTAACCAGACGAACTCAAGTTCGACTCCGAAGTCGTCCTGTCGTTCCTGGAGCACATCGAAAATGGGCTGAGATAACACATGCCCGTCGGGCCGGACTTGATGGCTGGAGAGTCGGCGTCCGACTCACCCTCCGTCATACTGCAGGTCACCGTGATAATGGGTGGAGGACACGGAAGGTCAAGCGAGTTCGGCTTGTCGACATCTTTAAGAAGAGGCCTACAGTGTGATTTAGAAGGCTGCGGTGGAGGAGAGCCCGGGAAAATCATACCCGGAGTGACAACTTGTACCGGAGAAGCTTCTTGCACAGTGACAACAGGAACGACTAAAGAATTCGTTTCTTTTAAATCTGTCCTCAAATCCAATTTCATATCCTGTTAAACAAACATAAATAAAGTAAAATGTCGAAGGATATATTAAAAACCAATACTGTACATTTCTGTAAGCCGTTGGGGAAAGGAAGCTCATCGCGTGCCTCGGCATCACCGGCGTGATGGCCGGGCTCGGTGAAGGCGTTGGAAGTTCTCTGATCGGCGAAAGACATTTGTTCGGCACTTCCAAAAGAATGGAAGGAGGCTGGAGAAGATTGTTGCAAGACTTTTGCGCATTTAGAGGGTCAAACACCGTTACCTGAAACAAACCAAAATGAAAAATCCTAATCGCTGTTCGACCTTTCGACGGTTTTACTTGGATAGTGTTCTTTTTGGAGAACATCGGAGAATCGGCGATACCGCTGCTGGAAGAAGTGGGCGTGTTGGCCGAGCTGTCGTCGCTCCCTGCGACTTCGTCCCTGGGGCTGGAACCTGTCGGCGTCGTCGAGGTCGGTGACGATGGTGCGATGCCGTTGTTGACGGAAGTGAAATTGCGAAACATGGCCAAGATGGAATCGGCCGAGGCGGTTTTCCGCCCTGCTTTCTTTCCGCCGACGACATCCATTCCTGCTTCAAGATAAACATTGCCGTTCTCAGAATAATAGGCACAACTAGGATGACGCGTCTTTTTTGTCAATTTTCATTCTATATGTTTTCTTACATGTTCTGTAACTCTACATAATACATCTAGACAAATATTAGGTTGAACGTTTTGGTATCTTTAAATCTACAGTCAGAAATAGCACAAATACAAATCAATTTGATCAGAAAACTAATTGTTCAACACAAAACAGTTTGATTTTAATATAAATTTGAAACATTAATCTTATTTTAAAACATGTACTTTCCCATATTAACCAATGATCTTCTTGATAAGTTAAATTATATTTTGTAAAGTGAAAATATTTCGTATGTCACATATACAAATCAGCAACAACAGTGCCCTCTTATACATTATTACTAATGTTCATACTGCAAAAAAGTCCTTTTTTAAGTAGTGAACGATACTACATTTGATACAAAAACAGGAAAATTTATAGCAGAAATTTTATGAAAAGGTACAGATCGTATGCTTTGACTTCTCTCTATAAAATAAAAAAGTGCAATAAAGTGAACAAAAGGCTACTTAAAAGTCTATAAATACTAGGCTTTTTATTTTGATTAAAACAAAAAAACATGATTCTAATATATATCGGCGACAGGATAGATTTTTGTTTATTCTTGACGTTTTACAAAGTTATGGTTTCGATTTAAAACGTAAGATATTAATAATTTAAAATTATATGTTTATAATGTTTTATGTGATGTTGAAATTTTTTTTAAAGTAATTTATCCAAGACAGTTTTTTACTTAAAAAGGGAGTGTACGGACATGGGATCACCAAACAAAAAAAATGTTTTTGTGATATTACGCCGTAAAACATACTTCGAGAATCTCAGACAGGGTTTAGGAAGTTTTATTCTACGAATGATAATGTTACATTGATAGACTTAGTCAAAGTAAATTTGAGTTAAAAGCGATAAAAAGTATATGGCTTATTTGTAGATTTAAGCGCCGCATTCGAACGCATCCACCGTCATTCTATAAGTGATATGAATTATGGGTTTCCAATAAAATGGTCAATCATATAAAAAAATTTGTACAGTGGAACCTCCGTCTCCGTATGGCATGATAATGGACTAACTGAACCATTTGGCACATTGGAGTAAAACAATGATATATATAAAATTAATTAAGGTTTTTAGTTGAGCTGAAAAAAAGTTAATGGCACGAGAGGGATTCGAACCCACGACCTTCGGCTTGATACGCCGCTGCTCTACCACCTGAGCTCTCGTGACCTCGATCCACTCGGACATCAACTGCCCATCTCAACCCCACTTTATGAGTTTTCCCTCCTTTTGCCATTTTTCAAATGTCGTGTAATCGGTTTGGATTCTCGACGACAATTGAAATGGCGACGGAGAGCTTTAGTGAAGTGTACTTCAGTTAATTCATTAAATTCACTAATTTCGTGGTTAGCTCAGGTGGTAGAGCAGCGGCGTATCAAGCCGAAGGTCGTGGGTTCGAATCCCTCTTGTGCCATTAACTTTTTTTCATCTCAACTAAAAACCTTAATTAATTGTAATGTATAATTGGTCAAGCGGACCACGAAATTAGTGAATTTAATGATATATATAAATATAATATATTGGGTTGTCCGGAAAATAATGCAGGATTTTGGTATTAAACAAAAAAAAAGAAACTAGTTACTTTAAAGCAATGTTCTTTAATCAAAATAATTTCCCATACTCTCAATACATTTCTCCCAACGTGTTGGTAACTTATTAATTCCGTCTGAGTAGAATTCAGAATTTTTAGAATTGATAAAGTCAATAAATGCATTTTCCAGTTCCGTTTGATTTTTGAATATTATGTGTTGTAAGTAGTGGTCCAGGTGTCTAAAAAAATGGTAGTCAGTAGGCGAGAGGTCCGGAGAGTAGGGTGGGTGAGGCAAAGTTTCATAGCCAAGCTCCAATAATTTTTGTGACGTTACACGTGACACATGTGGTCGAGCGTTGTCATGCAACAAAATGGGCCCTTTCCGATTGACCAAAGAGGGCTTCATTACTGCCAATTTCTGATGCATGGTATTAATTTGGTTACAGTATGATTCAGCATTGATGGTTTCGCCAGGATTTAAGAAGCTGTAGTGTATTAAACCAAATGAAGCCCACCATACCGTAACCATTACCTTTTTTTGATGAGTTGGGGGCTTTGGAGCTTCTCCTTTGTCGAGCCACTGTCCAGAACGTCTAGTGTTATCGTAGAGAATCCACTTTTCGTCACATGTAACAATTCTGGCCAGAAATGGGTCATTTTTGTTTCGACAAAGAAGTGATGCACAAACATCAAAGCGCTGATTTTTTGGCGATCGTTTAATGAGTGTGGAACCCAATTTTCGAGTTTTTTCACTTTTCCAATCGCCTTGAGGTGGTCAGCGACGGTCGTTTTACTGACTTTGAGTTGCTCTGCAAGTTCTCGAACAGTTGTTTTGGGGTTTTCTTCCACCACTGATCGCAGAACATCATCATTAAGAGAGGAAGGCCTTCCACGACCTTCTTCATCTTCAAGGCTGAAATCTCCCTCCCGAAATTTTTTAAACCACCTTTGCACAGTGCACTCATTAACACAACCCTCGCCCCAGACTTGGTTAATGTTTCTAGCCGTTTGGGCTCCGCTTCGGCCGAGTTTAAACTCGTAAAAGAAAATCGTACGAAATTCTCGCTTTGACATTATAAGGATGACTGAATTATTTCCAAGTAGCGGAATGCTACAGAGGTAAACAAACAATATCATTTGGAAGAGGATTAATAAGTGTTGACATTCATACAAATGAGTAATCCTGTAAACGTAAACAGAATATTTTATATAGATTTTTTTTAATGAAAACTTAAAATCCTGCATTATTTTCCGGACAACCCAATATATAATGCAAGGTGGACGACCAAGACCCGAGGGGTTAAATGCCTGGGGAGACTCGTACCCCGTCCCTAAAAGGTCCGGGACTTGGTCGGCTCACGTGTCCTGCATAAACCTCTTGGACCTGTTCACAAACCCCAAGGTTTTGGACCATTTAATCTCGGGGAGTGATTTGGTGATGTCCTCTCCTTCAAAGATTTCAAATCTAGACCTAGCATACCTATCAAAGTCTGCGTGGTAGTGCCTTGCCATTTCTTCTTTTATTTCGCAAAAACGGCAAAAGGTATCTGGTAGAATACCCATTACGAAGAGGAGTTTTCTCAGTGTGCAGTGGCCCGTCAGAATACCTATCAGCTTCCTAATTCTCTCCCTTGAGGTAGAGAATAGCCATTCAATGAAACAGCCATGAAACCATGGCTTAAGTCCGAAACGTTTGCTCTTTTTATTTACAATGTGAAAAGGTGATTGGATGATGGAGTTAATATAAGAGCTAATCGGATTAACGTATGCGGATGATTTATTTCTTTGACGTCAGATAAAATCACTCTCCAAACAATGATGGCATACTTGACAAATTATTTCTATACCTGACAACCTAACACGTCCTCAATAGCTATGAGTACGTGGTATACAGGGTGCTATTTTAAGATGGGACCTGCTGAATTTTTCTTAAACCAATGACGCTATAAAAAAAACTGTTTAATGTTTTTTAGCCTAGTTTCAAATTTTTACGCTTTTTGGAGAAACATTGTACAGGGTAGTTCAGGCCGAGTCAACTTCAAAATTTTAAGTGCGACCCCATATCGTGATACAGCATTTTAAAGAATTTTTTACGCTGAAAACAGTGGTGCAATCGGATTTTCACTTGGTCAAAAATGACCAAGTTATGGCAAAACTAAGGTGTTAAGTTGAGATAAAAAAGTCAGTGTCACGAGCGGGATTCGAACCCACGACCTTCGGCTAGATACGCCGATTTCATTTGTCGCCGAGAATCAAATAGATTACACGATATTTGAAAAATGGCAAAAAGGAGGGAAAATTCAAAAGGTGGGATTGAAATGGGAAGTTAGTGTCCGAGTGGATCGAGGTCACGATAGCTCAAGGGGTAGAGCAGCGGCGTATCAAGCCGAAGGTCGTGGGTTCGAATCCCGCTCGTGCCGTTAACTTTTAATCTCAACTGAAAACCTTAAAAAAAGTCTAAAAGAAGAGATTTTTCAGGAGTTGATTAATACACCTCCGGATGCGATAAAATAAAACTAGTTCTATCAATGAAAAACAGTTTATTATCGGTAATAAAAAGTAGGGTGAAACTACACATTACTGAGATAAAATTTAGATAAGTGTCAGTAAATATGCAAATGGAAAATAATATGTTCAGAAACTTTTTTGCTTGAAACGTATAGCTCTGTTTATGTACGTTGTTGTTTAATTTATACGCACTATTGCATGTTATATGGTTTTTTGTTGATTAAAGTTTGTAATGGCATGATATTACGTTGGTAACCAATTTAGTCCATTATTATTTTAATTTAAATGTTTGGTTCTGTTTCACTAAAGGTTTTCTGAGACTTTTTTACTGAGTGTATCTTATAAAAGTTATGTAACTCATTAAAAAAATTCTTTTGGGGCGACGGTGGCCGCAACGGTTTAGGCGTTGACACGGCGCTCAACACTGTAAGTTAAAGGTCCCGGGTTCGAATCCAGCAGCCCGGTATTTAAAACCGACATACAAATAGGCTTTTTTTTTCAAAACCACCGCTACCCCGAGGGTTGATATAACCTCTGCTGTTGCGAACCCTCGTTAAAGAAAGAAAAAAAATCTTGGTTCCAAGCTTATTGGCAAGACAATTCTTACACGTGTCTAATATTTTACGAACCTAGTATCACCTAAAAAACTTTCATTAAAACTGGTGATCTCACGTCTTCCTTCCACTGTCTGTGTACTTGTAGATATTGTTTTTGATACCCACCTTCAAGTATTTCTGTTTTGTGACAATAAGTGTTAAATTTTGTAAATATAAATAGGAATATTTGAAAAAATTGAAAGACAATGAAAAATAAATCGGGTGTTCAGGATGGATTTATTGTCAATTTCAAGTATTGTGTGGTATGATCATCCGTTCTAAATTGATGATTAAAAAAAAATATTTACATCAATACATCAAGAGACACTACGTAAAGCGACATGACATGGTTTTTTTCAATCAAAAAACAAAACAACACAGTTGTTACGTTAACATTTACAACACAAAAAGCAGGACGATTTTGATTTTTTAGGAGGAATCACAACAGGGCTAAAACCATAAGTCCATTTGTGAATTCTCCACTTGCGATGGATCAGCTATAGAAACGGGATGTAACACAGACATGCTAAATGTGTACAACAAAAACATTTGTACATTTTTGAACATTGAACACAACAAAATGCTTTCTATACTACTAACTATTCATGTCTGAACCATTTATAATGAAACAACACAACATATAAAAACACAAACAATGTTCACAATGGGCATATAAATATTGAACAGGCTCATAATAATTCAATCAAAAGCAGGGTTTCTATGAAACAAAAAATTAGTTTTATGATAAATTACAATAATATGTATTATAATATTATTTCACTTGTATATATTACATAAATGTACGCTTTGACTTATATACATTGGATTTCTTTCATAAATATATTATAATTTTTTTTTATTTTTCTATTAAAAATAAAAATTTGTGAAATGCTTGAAAGCACAAGTGCTCCACAGCCTAAAATAAACCCATGCGAACATTTTTTTTAGTGCCATCGACAAAAAAAAAAAAACTTTTTCTTTTTGGTTGTGCACGTGTAGTGGTCAGCCCAGTGAGTTTGATGTGAGTGTGTGATGAAAGGAAGAGGACGATTCGAAAAAAAAACGCTATGCCGGACTTTGCGAGTTATATATTTGGTTACATGTACGTTAAAGCGGACACATTTTTATGTTTCAAACTGACTTTACGTCTTTGAATCCGTAATAGTTATTTGCACCCATTTTTGCAAAACCGTTTGTATCTTGTGAGATCCTCCATCCCAAACTTGTAAAATGGCGAAGTCCAAGTTTAAACTTAATCATTAATTGGCTTTACGTCTGTAAGGACGACAAGTCTTTAAATGCTTATTGTCGTAATTGAACATCCTAGTATTAGTAAGTTAAAGAATTTCATAGGTTTTCCCCCTCAGTAGTATCCCTACTAAACGAGCGTTTATTTTTACAAAGCACATGAATAACCCAGATGAAGATTTTTAAAGCCGTTATATATTCCTCATATTCACTATTTTTCGTGGTCCGCTTGACCAATTAATATCATTCAATTAATTAAGGTTTTTAGTTGAGATAAAAAAGTCAGTGTCACGAGCGGGATTCGAACCCACGACCTTCGGCTTGATACGCCACTACTCTACAACTTGAGCGGATCGATCGGGCACTAACTTCCAATCTCAAGGTGGGGTTGAGATAGGAAGTTAGTGCCCGAGTGGATCGAAGTCACGATAGCTCAAGTGGTAGAGTAGCGACGTATCAAGCCGAAGGTCGTGGGTTCGAATCCCGTTCAAGACACTGACTTTCTTATCTCAACTAAAAACCTTAATTAATTGAATGATATTAATTGGTCACGAAAAATAGTGAATTTAATTTATTAAAATGAAGTACACTTCACGAAAGCTCTCCGTGGCCATTTCATTTGTCGCCGAGAATCAAATAGATTACATGGCATTTGAAAAATGGCAAAAAGGAGGGAAAATTCAAAAGGTGGGGATCAGATAGGAAGTTAGTGTCCGAGTGGATCGAAGTCACGATAGCTCAAGTGGTAGAGTAGCGGCGTATCAAGCCGAAGGTCGTGGGTTCGAGTCCCGCTCGTCACACTGACTTTTTTATCTCAACTAAAATGCCTCATATTTTAACTGTATCTAAAACTTCAGAATTTAATACTTTAATTTTCGTAAAGGTTTTAAGTATGGATTTTGTATGATGAAGGGTATTTAGTACGAGTTTGAATCCAGAAGTTAAGGAATCAAGACGTGGTAAGACTAGTTCGCAGTATAGACATGCACATAAATACTTTCTTTAACTTTCAATTTATTAAGGTTTTTAGTTGAGATAAAAAAGTCAGTGTCATGAACGGGATTCGAACCCACGACCTTCGGCTTGATACGCCGCTACTCCACCACTTGAGCGGATCGATCGGGCACTAACTTCCCATCTCAAGGTGGGGTTGAGATGGGAAGTTAGTGCCCGGAGCGGATCGAAGTCACGATAGCTCAAGTGGTAGAGTAGCGGCGTATCAAGCCGAAGGTCGTGGGTTCGAATCCCGCTCGTGACACTGACTTTTTTATCTCAACTAAAATTCCTCATATTTTAACTGTATCTAAAACTTCAGAATTTAATACTTTAATTTTCGTAAAGGTTTTAAGTATGGATTTTGTATGATGAAGGGTATTTAGTACGAGTTTGAATCCAGAAGTTAAGGAATCAAGACGTGGTAAGACTAGTTCGCAGTATAGACATGCACATAAATACTTTCTTTAACTTTCAATTAGTTAAGGTTTTTAGTTGAGATAAAATATTGGTCAAACGGACCACGAAAACTAGTGAACTTTCTTTAACGATCTGGTTCGTTCTAGTATATATAAATATTCTTTAACGAAGCAATAAGTCCTAGTAAAGTACATGTCTGAGTACTCAGTTTAAAGAAGTGATTCATTCTAGTACAAGTATGAGTGCAGTCTTTGACAGTGGGGTGTTCTAGTACACATTTAAAAACAGAAATTAGCGGAATGAGACACACTAGTATGTATTTTGGCAAGACGTTCTAGTACATATGAATGCCATCTTTGGCGAAGCAAAACGGTTTAGTAAATGTTTAAATATCCCGTTGGAGAAGAGATAAGTCCTACACATGTTTATAAAGACAAGTTGAATAAATGATTTATTCTAGTATATGTTTGCGTGCAGCCTTTGACGAAGCGAAACGATCTACTATCAGTGAATATGATAAACAAATTGAAACATGCTTGTATGTTAACCGCGATTCGTTCCAGAACACGTTTGAATAAAGTTTTTGTTATGGGATTTTCATAGAATCCTTAAAAACTACATTTACTACAGTGACCTGTTGTATTTAATTTAGAATTTTTGGTAATCGCAAATTAGAAAACTGATTTTTTTTTAACAGCCCGATATTTTTGTATTATATAAAACTTTATTGTTATAAATTAAAAAGTTAAAATTATAAAAGAAGAAACCTTTGTTAGACCCTTACCATAATTATTCCCATATTAATTAACTTATGTCCTTTAATAATTAGAGTAGTTTACATTAAAACGTTAATACGCGTCCAATGATATATGTTAAAAAATGGACGGCTGTTTTTCATGCCCGGCATAGCGTTTAGGCCGGTGAACACAGATGGTACTTAGAACGGGCTATCTAACATCCAAAGTACCTTTCTCGTGCATCATAGCAACATGCATCTTGTGGGAGTACCGAGTGAGAGATGAGTCTCGGAACTGCTGCGGGAGTCGCTCCCCTGATTGCTCGACGTCGAATTCGGCGATTTCGCGTCGATTTCTAGTGCAGAAAGGGCCCCGTGCGAGCCACCGGTCACTTCCAATTCCGATCCAGACGACATCTCCGACGAGACTTTGTCAAGCAGCCTCGCAAAAGTCACCTTCTTTTCTAGTTTCAGCGAGTGGTCTAATGATAAACCTGGGAAACGGCGTATTGATACGTTTGTATAACAATAAGAACAATTTGAGTGGACTCCCGTTGAAGGCAGTGCACATTATAGAGTATGATAAGTGTCCGGGTTTTTCTTTTCGGTAAAGTCTTTTCGCAAACAAGCTTGACATCTAACCTGGAGTGAGTTTGACGGAAAAGGACGTTTCTGCGTTTCCGGATGTCGAAGGCTCGACCGTTAGCGTGTTGTTCGAAAGCGGTATCGAGTCAGCATTCGCACCGATGTTTGCCGGAGAGACGAGCGACTGGAGAATCTGTTTTTTCTCAAAAGCTGAAGATTTTTTCGTCGGCGTCGAGTTGTTCCGTTTCTTCCTCGGGGAGGGCGTCGCTGAAACGTTAACAACATCCGTAGAATAATGTTTATGAAAATGGTCAGTCATGCTTCAATAAGAGTAGGAAACATTGTTCTAACTATATCTAAAAAAGCAGAAGCAGAAGGACATCGCATTATAGCATATATGAAAATGTGCCTTTTAAATCTAATAATCCACATCTAAGCTTGGTTCTTGAAAGATATCAGCAAGCAATCATGAATGCAATTGATCTAAAAATTAAACTCTAATTTCAAAACAAAAATGTGCAAGCGACAGCTATAGTAGGAAGGGCAAATTAGCTCAAGAGACAGATCTGTGCGCTTTCCTGGAAAGTCAATCGACTCCGTTGAAAGTGGGTTGGGTGTGACCAAGAGATAGAAACGCAAAAAATGTTCTTTGAAGAGATAGAGTAACAGACAGATAGGCCTTCCTGGATGGTCAGAAGTTCAAGAAAAATATTGTATTTACACGCCAGTTAGACACACAATGCTGAAATCATGCTTTTATATACATTATTTACAAGATATGTGCTATTTACAAACTGCCCCTTGAAAAAAGACGGTTATTATTAGTCAAAAAAATATTACAGAAAGGGTTTATGTCGATCAATTTGATATGCAACTGATAATGTATTAAAGGTGTTTCAAGCTTCATAATATTGCATAATTAACTTCAATTTAACGTCAACCCCAGAAATGTTCAGACGAAAATATCAAGAAAACAGATCCTATCAGTTAAATCGATTCAACCATTACAAACAAAAATACTTAAAAAAACATAAAATAAAAATAAAATATACAGTTTATTGGACAATTTGAACAAAAGAGGAAAGCGTATAAACTCAATAATAACCGCCTTTACAGGAATAGTTATTCAATTATTGTGTTATATACAGGGTGAATTGCTACTCGTGCTACAAACTTCTCCAGTAGATTCTTCACCCTAAAATGAACAAAAAAGTTCATATTGTCCATGGTCCGATTCTCAACCATTTCAGAGTAATTTCGCTTTTTATCGATTTTGAAAGATATCACGTCCTGGCGTCGGAAAATCGTGATATCTTTTAATCTAAACATTTCTCTGAAAATCTAATAGCACCGTTGAAATTCCCGTTAATTTTTCAATAAGAAGATGACGGTGGCAAAATGTTTGGGCTAATTTTTTGTGTTTTATTTCAGCCAGAACTACAAAAAGAGTGGAAAATTGTGTAAATCGGAAAGTGTATAAAGTAATCCAGAGTTTCTAATTTTAGTCTCAGAAGGCAGCAAATTTGAGGAAAACTACCTGATTTAATAACGCTTCCAACGCACTCGTCATTTTCTTATTTAGTGGTTGTGAGACCAAGATGTTGATGACAAAAAGAGAAAAAATGGTGGTTCAAGGATTGCTAATGTTTGAGAGTGACTTGCTACTCGTGCTACAAACTTCACCAGTAGATTCTTGACCCTAAAATGAACAAAAAAGTTCATATTGACCATGGTCCGATTCTCAACCATTTCAGAGTAATTTCGCTTTTTATCGATTTTGAAAGATATCACGTCCTGGCGTCGGAAAATCGTGATATCTTTTAATCTAAACATTTCTCTTAAAATCTATAAGCACCGTTGAAATCCCCGTTAATTTTTCAATAAGAAGATGAAGGTGGCAAAACGTTTGGGTCTTTCTTCCTTGACCTTCTAGCTGTTTGTAAACTTCTTAAGCATTACATACTAAATGGGCATTAAATTAAATTAAAAAATTTCAATGGAATTATGATTTTGATTCTCTCTAAAAATTAACGGGGATTTCAACGGTGCTTATAGATTTTAAGAGAAATGTTTAGATTAAAAGATATCACGATTTTCCGACGCCAGGACGTGATATCTTTCAAAATCGATAAAAAGCGAAATTACTCTGAAATGGTTGAGAATCGGACCATGGACAATATGAACTTTTTTGTTCATTTTAGGGTGAAGAATCTACTGGAGAAGTTTGTAGCACGAGTAGCAATTGACCCTGTATATGCGGTTGATATATTGGACATTTGGTTTTGCTTAAGTCTTTAACTAATTTAATCTTTCTTACTTCATCTTCTAACTACTGTTTTCCTTATTGTCTACAAACATTAACCTATTAACCAAATTAAAAAAATAAAATAGAAAACCATTTTTTAATAGATTCTGTAAGGTTATCGTAATATAAGTTTTTTTTACATTTTTTAAATAATAATATTTATTCATTTCCTGAACATGAATTATATTATTCTTAAACGGTGTAAAACCTCGAGCAAAGAAATAACAGTGAGGTACAGTCAATACTGCACTCGGAGGACACGGGCTATAAGAAGTCAGCCAATGCTGGCACGCAGTTCAGGGTTCCGTAGAAGAAGGGTCGGGGCCATCGTTTGCGGCGACGTGGAGGGTTCTTGGGATGAGTAGAAGTAGAGAGGGCTTGAGCAGTTGGGTAAGGATGGGTTGAAAGATTGGTGTGAAACTTGTAGAAGCGATAACGGATCAATTCTTTAACCAACGGGATGCTAAGGTGTGTTGGAGACATAGTAAGTTGTCTACAGAATTCTTCTGGGGACATTTGATTGGAATGATTGAAATCGTTGGAACTTGGTTCCGCTCGGTATGTTCAAATAGATCGAAGTAATGTGTTGTACTGACTTAGTGACCGTCATGCGTGATTTCGATCATATAAGTCTTCGTAAGGATCCATGTCAATCTATTGTCTAATTATAAGTACAACCCTAAGTATTTTACTTGTGCAGATGTCGATAGTTCTGTTCTGTTAACGTAATCTTTTATGGGCGAGGCTATTTGCTTAGTATGAACCTAATTTCGGTGCATTTGTTATCGCTTAGTTTCATCTTGCTTTGCTCCATTCTTTAATGAGACAAAATTGCAGTATCCTCCGCGTCTGTTGTAAGGATGGTGTTGGGATGTATCGGCAGGACAACAGTATAAATTGTATATATGATGGGGCCAAGACTATTCCTTGTGGGACACCTGCCTGCATCTGAATTCCAACAGCTCGTTACCGCATCTCATTCTGCAGCAGCGGTCGGTTAGATACAATTTTAGGATTTAGTAACAAAAAGGGGGTAAGTACTGCTTTAGTTTAAAGATAACTCCTGGGAACCCGATCACAGCTGAAGTGATACGTTCTTATTGAAAAATCTGGAGAAATTTCGTTGTTTCATTATGTAATATTTATTCAAAAATCGTGAGATGCGGTCTGGTGTGATGTAGGTTTCAGAAAATCATTTTCTTTATCGTGCCAACGTTTCGATCTTTATTAAGCTCTGAAGATGATCTCAATAAAGATCGAAACGTTGGCACGATATATACGAAAAATGTTTTTCTGAAACCTACATCACACCAGACCGCATCTCACGATTTCTGAATAATTATCGATTAACGGTCACTAATCACCACACATTATGTAATATTTTAACTTGTCACTCAACGGTATCATTCGCAATTAATTTATAAAAACAACTTTATATTTTTAGAGGATTCAAATCTAAGACGTTTCAAAGGTGAAAACGCTTGGGTATTTTCTTTTGTTCAACCGTTCAGCTGAATCTATTAAACCTATTTGCATTACTATTTTTGTTTTATGCTGTGTAATATGCATGTAACAAAATTCGATATACCTGGACTCTAACATTAGAAGTAATTTAGCAGTAGTTGCCAAGAGGTCACTGCCGAGTGTCACATACTTTCTGCAGTGTTACACCGTTGATTAAAATACTGTTTCTTGCCACATAAAGGTATTCTGCATATTACGAGAGATTGCAGTAACGAACAGAAATGGCTCTTGGTTCAGGCAGCCGGGTAAGTTCATATGACCACTTATTTCACTTATTTTTTATCGGAGATGCGTGATCTTGTATCGTGTTTAGTGTAAAACTAACCTTAACGTTACCCATTCAATTAATTAAGGTTTTTAATTGAGATAAAAAGTCAGTGTCACGAGCGGGATTCGAACCCACGACCTTGGGCTTGATAGGCCGCTACTCTACCACTTGAGCTATCGTGACATCGATCCACTCGGGCAATAACTTCCCATCTCAACCCCACCTTTTGAATTTTCCCTCCTTTTTGCCATTTTTCAAATGTCGTGAACTTAACGTTACCATTTATTTATTATCTATCATCTTACTAATTATGTTTATTATAGAAATTAATTATAGTCTACTCTTTATATATATTTCAGTAAATATGTAAGTGCGTTATGTTTTTGCCGTGCGCATGTGTGCAAGTTTCCGTACTTTTGAGAATGGTTTACATTTAAGGCTAGAAAAATCCAAATGTCCAAAAACGAGTAATTATTAATAAAAAAAGTTTTCGAGTAAAAGTAAAACTATTAGTGATATTTTCTACGTGCTTATTCACGTTTAAATTAATTTTGTCAACCGTCATAATGATATATTGCCAAAGCGAAAATTTCACGAATTGTGGTCCATCGTGATAGTTAAAAAAGTGCAAAATCTCTTTCAAAGGCGGTCAAATGTTCGTGGCCGTCTGAGAAAAGCGATTCATCTGACGCATCCAGTGGCGATAACCCAACCCTTACTTGCGCCAGTCACCAGGTCGTCGAGGCTAAATGTCCTCCCTTGATGGAAGCTGCTGGAAGACGCCGGGCGCAGCTGGTGATTGGTTGGCACTAGGAGAAGCGATGGTTTTCTGATACCCAATCTTCCGAGAAGTGTACGTGGCAGGGGGTCTCCCGTCCTTCCGGAACCGCCGGTCGTCACTCCGAGCCCGCTTACGCTTGCGTTTAACGTCCGTTCTCTTACAGAAGGGCAATGCCGCGTCGACATATCTAAAAAATAAAAAGAGCTATAATATACAAAATTAACGTAATATATTATAATATTACAAGGCCTTCCTCTCTCGTTCTCCTCGGCGAGAAGCTTTTCCAGCTTTTCGGGAAAGTGGCGCTTGGCACACCAAAACAGCCCGATGCATCCCAAGACGACCGTGACTGTGATGAGTCCTAGCCAAAAGGGTTCTTGTAGCATCCTCTCTGACAGCGGCTTGTATGGAATATTCACTCTTTTCCTCTCACAACGTGTTCCTTTTAGAACAGTACAATGTTAATAAAACCATTACGGAAACTTGATCAGTATTAAAATAGATTTTAATTGATAAAACGGCGCAGAGGACCTAAAACTACTAATTTCAAACTCTGTAAAAAGATAATGGGAAAACCGCTGGGCTCGAAGAAATAGAAATAACCCTGCCAAACTGTGGCAGGTTAAGAAAGAAGTCGGTCCCTGGTCCTCAGAGATCGGTTTGAAAAAAGAAAAGGCCATACTGACAAGACTACGCATAGGGCATACAAGAATAACGCATGGGCATCTTCTGGCCGGAAAGCGACCGTTTAGGTGCCCGTTATGTAAGGATAGAATAACGGTCGAGCACCTCTTCAATTGTAGAAGGCTTGATGTATATGGACAATATTTTGGCATATCACCGGACCAGTGCGTAGTCTTGGGGCACAGCAGCGGGCACAGATCGCTGTTCCGGTACCTCAGGGCTAAAGGGATTTTTAAATGTATATAGTTTTATGTGTTTGTATTGTGCCTGTGTTTGATTTTATCTTAATTCATTGGAATGAGTGTAATTTATTAGCATCAAAGGAAGGAGTGATGTAACCCAGCCTCGAGGAATATCGAGTACTCTGGGGTGAGTGTATGACGTCTGGAGAGTAAAAGTAATTTATTAGCGTGAAAGGAAGAGGTTGTTTATAACCCTACCCCGAGGAATATCGAGTACCCTTGAGGGAGTGTATGACGTTTGGAGAGTAAAAGTAATTTATTAGCGTGAAAGGAAGAGGTTGTTTATAACCCGCCCCGAGGAATATCGAGTACTCTGGAGGAGTGAATGTGACCAGACATCTATGTTTGCGGTGATGTATATATGTATTGTATGTTTTGTTTCTATTGTGTATTTGACAACCTGAGGTACAAACGAGAGACTACCATTCTAGGGTATCAATGTAGTATATATTAGAAATCAGAGAGTCAGTAACCAGATCGTGGGCGAAAGAAAAGAAAAAGAAGGAAAACACGCTGAGGGCCGGCGACGACCTAAGCTGTTTGTCGGCCCATAAACTTACCACTTATATAATTGATAAAACACCAAATATCCTTATGAGCTCTGAAAGGTGTAGATCTTATAGTTTGATATCTCAGTTCATCCTATTGCCTATCATTGCTGGTATTGGCTTTCCCACACGTTTTGACACTTCAAAATTTTCAGCCTTTCGTCTGTAGGTTATTTAGGTAAGTACACGTTAGATAATCCAAAGGACCAAACATGTAGCTACTAACAACAAAGTTCTTAGTACATTTAATTTTATGAAGGTGATTTATTTCAACCTTCCTTATATGAGTGTCTAATCATATTTTTGTGGTTTGCTTACTGGCAAGATTTGTTAATGTTCGACTAGTCGACAACTTCAGCGTTTTTTCTGCTGGATTTTAAGCAAATAAAAGTTTAATAACCATGCAGATGGCGAGTCAATATAATTCATCACACTACGATTTCATTTTTCAATTTTCCTTATTGTCAATACAATCATTCTGGTCTGCCTGTGCTCACTGTTGTCGTCTGTTAAATATGTTTCGACTAGTCAATATCTTTAGCTTTCGTCTGCAGGTAATTTATGTAAATAAAAATTGGATAAACCAAAGCATCGACTTTGTACATTGCTATCAATTAATTAAGGTTTTTAGTTGAGATAAAAAAGTCATTGTGACGAGCGGGATTCGAACCCACGACCTTCGGCTTGATTCCCCGCTACTCTACCACTTGAGCTATCTGAATTCGATCCACTCGGGCACTAACTTCTCATCTCAACCCCACCTTTTGAATTTTCCTTCCTTTTTGCCATTTTTCAAATGTCGTGTAATCTATTTGGTTCTGAAATGGCCACGGAGAGCTTTAGCGAAGATACACTTCATTTAACTTGTTAAATTTACTAGTTTTCGTGGTCCGCTTGACCAATTAATATCTTTCAATTAATTGAAGTTTTATTAATTAATTGTTATCTCAACTAAAATCCTTAATTAATTGAAAGATATTAATTGGCCAAGCGGACCACGAAAACTAGTGAATAAAAGTTAAATGAAGTGTGTCTTCGCTAAAGCTCTCCGTGGCCATTTCATTTGTCTCCGAGAATCCAATCCGATTACACGACATTTGAAAAATGGCAAAAAGGAGGGAAAATTCAAAAGGTGGGGTTGAGATGGGAAGTCAGTGTCCGAGTGGATTGAAGTCACGATAGCTCAAGTGGTAGAGTAGCGGCGTATATAGCCGAAGGTCGTGGGTTCGAATCCCGCTCGTGACACTGACTTTTTTATCTCAACTAAAAACATTAATTAATTGAAAGATATTAATTGGTCAAGCGGACTACGAAAACTATTGAATTTTTACATTGCTTTTTAAAAATATCATTTCCTTACGAGAACATTTAGTTGAACTTTCCTTATACGAGTGTTTAATCTTATTATTCTGATATGTTCATGTTCACTGGCAATGTGTATTAAATTATCACGACTAGGCAACATATTCATCCTTTCGTCGGCAGGTTTTTTAGGTAAACAAAAGTTTAATAAACCAAAAGATCAATCTTGTAGATGTCTTGTTAAAAATGTCATTTCATTAGGAGAAGATTTAGTTGAACCTTTCTTATATGAGAGTCTAATCCTATCATTCTGATCTGCCTATACTTACTGGAAGACCTGTAAAATATGTTTCAAGTAGTCATCATCTTCATTGTTTCTTTTGCAGGTTTTTTAGGTAAGTCAAATCGGGATAAACTAAAGGATCAACCATGTAGATGGCCAATTAGTATACGTCATTCCATTAGGAGATCATTTAGTTGAACTTCCTTATTGTTAATCCAATCATTACGGTGTGCCTATGGTTTCGGTGAGGTCTGTTTCAACTAGTCAACAACTTCGGCGTTTGATTGGGAAGTTATATTCAGGAAAACACAGGTGACATAGTACTCAATGATATACTCAAGGATGTGCTTTGCCAAAAGAACGTACAGACTACATACACAGGGCTAAAAACATTTGTTCATGTGGTAGGCCCCCAAATGATAGGTTCACAATTTAAGGTGTATAAACATTTGTCTACGACGATCAATACTGCTGGTTCGAAACGACAAGACCCCTCAAACCTCTCGTTGCTCACAACGCAGGCCTGTATGCAATGGTTTGAACCCATCAGTATTTATATCTTAAAACTAATATGTCTCACCTTCCCACCAGGCGTTACAACGGCATTTGAACGAAGCGTCATTCGTCTCAACGCAGGATCCTCTGTTGTCGCAAGGATTCGAGCTGCAGGGCCGATGTCGCGTATCACAGTGTTCACCGTGATAGCCAGGCTTGCAGTAGCATTTGAAACTAGTCTCGTTCAACTCACATCGGCCGAAAAGGCAAGGTTCAAGCTCACAGAGTGTGACAACGCAAAGAAATCCTGAAAAGATTCAATACTTTAAACATCTCCGAAAACTAATATTTCATATACCCAAAATGATGGGTAACAGTCTGATGTACAGGTCATATGAAGTCAAATAAACTTGACAAAAATTCTTTTATCAATGCATTCATAAAAACTATATCATTTTTCAATGCAATATCTGTAGTATGAATACCAGTGAAATGTCCTGTACACGTGCAGTAATGTTTTCCCTCTGCGTTGGTCTTGCACTTCCCTCCGTTCTGGCAAGGATTAGGTTCGCACGTCTCGACCCATGTTGGGTTTTTTTTCTTAAGTTTTGTCTTGAATTCTGGATCTAAAACCATAAAAAATAATATAGTATAATGAAACATTCAAAATTTAAAACAACCAAGATTGATAGTTACCTGGTTTTATGGTTACGGTGATGTTGTGACGTCGAGATCTCTTTTCGCCGTACTTGCACCGGACGCTCACCGTGTTCAGATAGGTCTCCACGGATATTTGGCTTCCGATGTTGTCCCCGCACAGTCTCCAGGCGGTGCCGTTCGAGTCGGAATACGCATCAATGACTTCGACCACGTCGTTGTCTTGAGAACAGTCCTCCAATTTTCCCAGACCTTTTAAATCCAAAGCTTTCAAATTAAATTGTTAATGAGTTTCAACTTTTTTGAATTACCAGTTATTTGATTTGGCGGGTTGAACTGTAGGTGAATGGTGTGGCCGATCGGAGCGATCAGCCTATGGGTCAGATCGATTCTGCGAGGTGGTACGCTCGGATAGTTCATATCGAGGAGCCGTCCGAACGTGATATTTCCCAAATTGACAATATGTTCTTCTTTGGCGTTTCCGACTAAAATGTTAAATTGAGTATATAGCATTTCATTTATATGACAGGAAAACGACAAGTTGATAAAATAATGAGATTCACAGAAGATTCACTTGCCCATGAGATTAAAACTGGCGGGACCGGTATAAACAATGTTCAGCTACCAACTATTTTTTTTTAAATGAATATATTATATATATANGCTCTCTCTCTCTCTCTCTCTCTCTCTCTCTCTCTCTCTCTCTCTTTCTTTCTCCTTCCTTCTTTTTCTCTACCTATTTTCATCTCGATCCATCTATCGATCTTGTACGACTTATGATAGTGGTGGTCGTGCAGTCGTATTGTACTCCCAGGAATTTCCTGATCGTCCCAGAGTAAACCACAAATGTTATATATATTTTTTATAGTTTTTACACAATTTTATAAGAATAGATTTACAAATTTTGTATAGTTTATTCGTGTTGCTTACTATATGAGGAGATACGCTGTATCGTCACCGGGAAACTAGCAACGTAATTGCGACCAAGAGTTGAATATTTTACTGTAGCTCACGAAAATCACAATTCCTGTCTCCGAAATGTTGGAAGGGTTTTAGATTTTTCAGAAGATAAAATGAAAAATGTACTCCGGACTTACAGTTTTAAGCTGTATCGCTCTCATCTTTTCGGGAGACTTCGCGACCCTGATTATGACAGGCGGCTAACGCTCCTTGCACAAATGACGATTTGGGAGGCTGAAGAAACGTTCTTCCATACACCCTGTATATTGTTTTATTTTGCTTAGGTTTTTTGTCTTGATGACGCGAAAATCATCCTCTCGTTAGCTGCCTCCTCTCACACTTTCATTAACTCTCTCTCTCTCTCTCCCTCTCTCTCTTTCTTTCTGTTGGGGTCCTTCCGAGCGCCGTTAAACCTTGCGGGCCCTCACAAGGCCGGTATTGTACCCAGGAAGGTCCCAACTGTTCTGCCCTACCGGGAAGCCTGCAACCGTGAGCTGTATGGCACAAAACCCCTTTCAGGCAGATGAGAAGGGCACTCCTAAGTCGTGGGCTCGTACGATGTCGAAGTATCGACTGTTTGCCGGAGTGGTCGAGAGGGCCACTATGGTGGAGAATGCCGGGTGTCCTTTTGCGGAGAGGCGGGTTTCGCGATCAGTGATGCAGCGTCCTTTGATGTCGACGATGATACCGTGATGGCTCAAGAAATCTGCTCCGATGATTGGTTTCTTCACATCAGCGATGATGAATTGCCACTTGAAAGCTCTATAGAGGCCAAGGTTGAGGATGATCGTTTTCGTGCCATAGGTGGCTATTTTTGTACCATTGGCGGCGTACAGCTCCCAGTCATCACTCGGTCTCGCTGCTGGTTGTTGTTGTTTCATTCCTAGTGGAATTACTGATACAGCCGCTCCGGTGTCAACCAGAAAAGTTGTTCCAGTCGCGGAGTCACTGACCGCGAAACCCGCCTCTCTGCAAAAGGACGCCCGGCATTCTCCACTATAGTGGCCCTCTCGACCACTCCAGCAAACTGTCGACGCTACGACATCGTACGAGCTCACGATCTCCGGGGTACCCGGTACAGTCGGACAGGTGGAAGCTCTACCTCTCACTCAACGGTCCTTTTTAGGGCCAAAAGCCTCCTCGCTGGTTCTGTAGAGCCCACGAATTAGGAGTGCCCTTCTCATCTGCCTGAAAGTGGTCTTGTGCCGTAGAACTCACGGTTGCAGTCTTCCCGGTAGGGCAGAACAGTTGGGACCTTCCATGGTACAATACCGGCCCTTGTGAGGGCCCGCAAGGTTTAACAGCACTCGGAAGGACCCCGACGTGATGTATGAGATCTCGTCGGGTTGACGAGTCTGTTTCCAGCGAGGCAGTGCCCCTGCTTAAATAGTGAAGAGCCCTACTCTGATTGGCTGCAGACTGGAGGGCGTGAACATTCCATAAGTCGTAGTGGCATCTAGCGATAACTTGTGGTAGCTAAAAGTGGCCTATCAACCTCATCCTTTATCATTGTGTATTTTGTTCTCATTCTACATTCTACCAGTATTTAATTTCTTAAAGACTCACTGTCTGTTTTCTACATCTCGCCCTCTCTCTCAATCTATTTCTATTTCTCTCTCTTTTTCCTCGCTCTCTTCTCACTCTATCTTCCCCCTTTTATACGCCATATTTGTAAAGTAGACCTTTTTATAGTCGGACTTACCCGTTTTGTATATTGCTTGGTATCCTCGACCCATTGGATTGTCACCAGTTCTGAGTGTGATCTGGATCCTTTCTCCTGCCGAGACGTAAGCGCCGTCAGACAGGATGCCAGGCATCGTGAAAGGCTGAAGCCTGCCTTCTCCGCCACCCAGGTCGACTTCCAAAATTGGCTCCTCCGCGTCGTAGTCTGTAATTTCCAGCCAAACCCTTTTCCCTACTAAAAATCATACAATGAATTTTATCCTGTGTGGTGCAAAAATTTAAAAGTTACCTGGTGCTAGGATAGTCGTAGAACAGTCCATCCTCGACAGTAAAAATTGCGGGTAGTTGGGACTGGTGAGAACTCCTTCCTGGGCGGTCGTAGTGTACAAAGGACATCCAGATACATCGACAGCTTTCCAGCTGAGAGAAAATCCCTCACCTGAGATAGAATAATCCGAGCGGAAATGCACTAATATTATATTTCCGGATGACACAATTCTCAAACTAAAAGTGACAAAAATAAACACAAGATAAGTTATAACAGTCTAAAAGAAAAATATGTACTATATTACTTTTTTAATTGCTGAAGACTATAGTGACCACAGAGTTTTGTCGAGTCTTCGGAAAGTCGTGGATCAAGCACTTCAAGGTAATCGTAAAGGCACTTCGCTTGATGCTCAAGATCAAGAAACGTAAGGACAACCTTAGAAAAAGTTAATGATACAATTTTTGTTGCTGTTATTTTATTTCAAAATACTTACAACAATTCTGGTCTTTTGGGGAGAGTTTATTTCGATCCAGTAATCTAAGTTGTTTAAATAAGGCCTTGGGTGCTGCGGAGAAGAGAGCGTTCCTTCTGAACCGTTGATAGTCTTGTTCAAGTTCAAATGAAGTCCACTTCCTTAAAAATAATGAAAATTAACAATTAATTGTAAAAAAATTTAATTGTTTACCTTGGTTATCCTTTTTACAGACGTAGCCACCGGGGGTCTCGCACTGTTGTATTGACCAGTACAGACTGCTGGGCAGTAGCGGTGCAGGTGAAAGTGTCCATTGAAGTCCCAGACATCGCATGTCCTTCTTCTCGAAGTTCTCGTTCGAAACCCAACCTAGTAAGTTCAAATTTTGACATGAGTTGAGTTTTCAACAGAGTCGAATTTGTTGCTGTAAGTTGCTCTTGCCCGATCAACAGGCTAATCTGTCCTCGCTGATTTGTCGGATTTACGCTATCTTCTTGGGTGAATTTCAGTCCCTATTTGCACAAACGTTTGTGGGATTTTTTTTCTACTAAACAACACACAACAGTAAAACAGGTAACAGAACAGAACTCACGAAAATTGAGAACTTGCATGCGTTTGCATGACGGAAGCGATCAGAACCTGTCCCATAGCTGGTATGAAGAAAATATTTCGCTTAACCTTCCTCCACATTATGGTAAAGAGAGCAGCGCAGAAAACTATTATTAACGTCATCAAAGAGAAACTTCCAACAGGGCTAAAACTAATATGGAGACATAGTGACAGCCTAATGAAGGAACATCTACTACTCAGAGACAACATGAACAGGACGTTTTAGTTGTAGCAAAATTTGCAAAAAAATTTACGTACCAACAAATAAATAAAGACGAAGAACCTCCTCTGTGAGAAAGGCACCATTTGCTCGTACACTGAAGGATCTAGAACGCAGGAAGGAATGGGGGGTAGGGTATTCGGCCCTGGAATCAAATAATCAGAACCCATAGGAAAAGACACTAGTATCATCCATGCCGAAGTTCACGCAAGAACTCCGTTCAAACTGAACAAGGGGTCAAAAACAGTATCCATTTCCAACAATCATGTGAGATAACAAAACAACTAAACCAAAGAAAACACCCTCTGATGAACATGTAGGAGAGAGCGGACGCCCTTCAAGGCAAGGGGTGGCCATACCCCCGAGAAGTCCTGTGCCATTCTGTGCAATAGGGATTCACACGATCAATGAGTAGCTTAAACAAAAGGAAAATGAAAATGAGAAAACAGTGGAATTTTCTCGTAACTACCTACATAACCTGTGGACATAACCAATCCAAGGTTTATCCGTCTATCAAATTTTGGAAGGAAAGAAACAACTGAATGGGCATCAAAGAAAACAGGAGAAAACGTCGAATTTTAACAGGATTCTTACAGGACACTGCAGACTGAATAGTCATCTAAATAATGTTGGGCGAACACAAGACGGCACGTGCGGATTCTGTAAAGAAGCAGAAGAGATACCAACAGAAGGAAGTGTTAGAAGAAATTCAACTACTGAACACAGGTCTAAAATTTATTTAAACATCGTGAGATGCGGTCTGGTGTGATGTAGGTTTCAGAAAAACATTTTCTTTATCGTGCCAACGTTTCGATCTTTATTGAGATCATCTTCAGTGCTCAAAGTGTTTGTCTTCTGTGTAATTGTGTCATTCTTGCGTGCCGTGCACTCTCGACACGACACGCAAGAATGACACAATTACACAGAAGACAAACACTTTGAGCACTGAAGATGATCTCAATAAAGATCGAAACGTTGGCACGATAAAGAAAATTCTTTTCTGAAACCTACGTCATACCAGACCGCATCTCACGATTTCTAAATAAATATCGATTAATGGTCACTAATCACCACACAGACAGGTCTAAAAATCCAGGTTCTCGTTGGATTAGAACTGCTATGGGCACAGAATGATAACAGCGAGTCTTAAAGGGTGCAGCTCCGAAATGTACATCTTGATCTTCATCAAAAACAACGTTAAGCTTGGGGAAGTATTAATGTATGAAATGTTTAAATTCAGAATAATGGAAAGATTTGAGAGTAAGATGAGGAGGAAGAGTTCCAAACTTGCGCAAAACATGTTCTGCCAGAGTTGCATCATTGTGCAACTATCATCATGCATCCTGGAAGAGGAATAAAGATGGATTCTAAATTAGTTGCAAATAGGTTTGATTTATCATTCTGAAAAGTAAGGCTGGAACCAACAAATTTTGGAACTCATCCTTTCATTTCTTTTTAATCGTTTGCTTGGCTAACTTTTTGTTGTTGTGTAAAAGCGAAACACAGCGAGTTGAAGCAAAAGGATAATTGTCGAAGCACAGACTATGGATTCATCATATAGAGTTCGACAGAACATTATTTGGTCATTTATCGATTTTGGATAGGGATGTATATATAAAAACTAGATTCAAAAACACACAACTTGTTAATGTTTAAAAACTATTCACGTCGTGGCTGACCTGCTTGCAAATAGGCTTTATAGCACTTTTAGAATTTAATGTGCGCTTTGCATTTTTCGTTACTGCGTGCAACTTTAAGCCGCCGATAAGAGGAAATACGAGAAGCACGCGATGTCGCAGGCCACGCTTGGTGGAAAAAGGGGAATACTGAGCAATAAAGTGTCGTTCCTTCGAGCTTAGGTCACATCAGCTTCCCAGGCATCACGTGCTGAAATTGGCTCATCACGAAAGAACATTGTTTTCTTTAAACTTTTTTTAAAATAATACCGTTGTAGTCAAGACTCGTCCCGTCGTCCCAGGCCCAATTGCCCGTTTCCTGTGTCCATTTCGCTCCCAGCCAGTATACAGCGCTCGTGGTGTACTCGCGGGACTCGCGGATTTTCCTGACTATGAAACGTTCCTCGGCAGAGCTGTGTATGCTAGCAAGATCCGCCTAAAACATAAAGAAAATCAATCTGAAAACATATGAAATAATTAAGTTAAAGAGGTTCGAAAGGAGTCAATTTAATTATAATAATTTTTTTTTTCAATTAATTAATCTTTTTATGTACGGTTTTGGTTGAAATAAAAAAGCTAGTGTCATAAGCGGTCAAAGGTAGCTCAAGTGGTTAGAGCAGTGGCGTATTGAGCTGAAGGTCCTGGGTTCGAATCCTGCTCGTGGCACTACCTTTTTCATTTCAACCAAAACCGTACATAAAATGATCAATTAATTGAAGAAAGTAATTTAGTAAATCAGACCACTAAATATAATGGATTTTATAATAATTATTTTTCATATAATATTATGTAAATTATATGAAATAAATATTAGAAATTCTATATTTTCAAAAAACACACTATCTGTTACGAAAAAACTTATGTGTAAACGACATGACCCTTCATGATTAATTTTACAAATCAACAAAATTGATAACATTTCAAGTTAAGATCAAAACAGTAAAATTAATAAATAAATATAAAACAGCTTTTAGTTTCAGCACATGTTAGATTTCAAAGATTTCAAATCTGCTGGAACTAATAGCTATTTGAATTCACCTAAAGAATATACAACGAGGATCTTTCGAAAATAAGTACAATCTATAAAAGATATATAAACATATAAACAATTGATAACACTAATAACAAATATAGAAAAAAATAACTCGTATATTGTTGTTCATACCGTTATTTTTATCAGTATATTAATTAGAATATACTCATTTTAATGTAAACAAATTAAACGAGATCAGAAATTAATGAGTTTTAATTAAAATGATTTAATTATGATGGTTTGAAAGAAAATTCAACAAAATACCGGAAAATCATTTAGTGATAGATTAAAATTTTACAAACAATTTGTTACCTTCTTTTTTCAAAACATCGGAAAACAATCGGATTTTGTCTTATGAACAGAAGCCCTTTCTTCAAAAAGAGAGGGTTTGAAGCTGTTTAACGATTGTTACAGGCGGCGAACGATGTTATACCCGTCTCTTTATCAAGTCCCATAAGTTTCTAAACGATGTCAGGAGAACGTGCCGCCCAATTCATTGTAGTAATCTCTACATCCTCCAACAAATGGCTGACCACTCAAGCTACGTTAGCAGGACGTGTCCCAAACAAATGGAGAGATTGGGTCCACATCTTCCAGAAGAATTTCCTCAATGTACTTTAGTGCGGTCAAACGGTGAATGAAATCAATTCGGCACGAGCAAGGATGTTAATTCGATCATAGCAAAACTGACATTCATCGAAAAAACTATGGCTCACGTTTGGCAATGCTTCAGTGCATACTCCACATACGGTCCGGTCATCTGATTACTAAAACTCATCTGTGAAGAAGACACCCACCACAGTTCAAGCATCCAAGCCATTTGTGAATGCCTTTCTACTCGATGCCAAGTTGCTAAACTATGTCAGGAGAACGTGCCGACCAATTCGTTGTGGTAATCTCTACATCCTCCAACAAATGGCTGACCACTCAAGCTACGTTAGCAGGACGTGTCCCAAACAAATGGAGAGAATGGGTCCACATCTTCCAGAAGAATTTCCTCAGTGTACCTTAGTGCGGTCAAACGGTGAAGGATGTTAATTCGATCATAGCATAACTGACTATCATCGAAAAGACTGTGGCTCACGTTTGGCAATGCTTCTGTGCATACTCCACATACGGCCCCGGTCAACTGATTGCTACAAACTCATCTGTGAAGACACCCACACAAGCTCAAGCGTCCAAGCCATTTGTGAATGCCTTTCTACTCGATGCCAAGTTGCTAAACGATGTCAGGAGAACGTACCGACCAATTCGTTGTGGTAATCTCTACATCCTCCAACAAATGGCTGACCACTCAAGCTACGTTAGCAGGACGTGTCCCCAACAAATGGAGCAAATGGGTCCACATCTTCCAGAAGAATTTCCTCAGTGTATCTTAATGCGGTCAAACGGTGAATGATAATCAATTCGGCACGAGCTAGGATGAAAATTCGACCATAGCATAACTATCATCGAAAAGACTGTGACTTGCGTTTGGCAATGCTTCAGTGCATACTCCACATACGGTCCCGGTCATTTGATTGCTACAAATTCATCTGTGAAGACACCCCCACAAGCTCAAGCGTCCAAGCGATTTGTGAACGACTTTCTACTTCGATGCCTTTCCAGTAGAAGAGACCTAGACAATTCGCACGAAATCTTGTGATGACTGTTTTATAACTCGCCCGAACATCATAAAACATTTATGACAACCTATCCAGGAACCTGTTAAATGACGGGCTTTTTTAAACTTTGAGTGGATATAGCGGATAGTTTTAGGGCCGGAAAACTACAGTGGTCATCGCCAGTCCTCTCCTTTTTTTTATATTATTGCCTTCATTTTATCGAAATTTATTTTTCTGAGACTACAGCCATACATATTGGCGAAGAATAAAAAACATATTTTAAATATTTTTCTGTATTTTATTAATTTTACTCAATTAAAATTTATAATTAATTTTTTCACTTATGTAACAACTACAGGTTTGATTTCACATAGCCTATTTTTTGTTAATTAATATTTCACAAAAAAAATTGTTAACGACGTGAAATTATATGTAAAATATCAGATAATACAAAACCGTCATTGGAAGAAAATAATTCCAGATGAAGAAACCGCTTCTAAACTTTTTAAGTTAAGCTAGTTTATCGATCGTATCTAGTTTGCTTATTTTCGAATTTGGCCTTCGGCAAATCGCGTCAATGTAAATTTAACTCGAATTTTAATAGCCAAGGTTCTCTTTTGTGTGTATGTTAATTAAGAGGATACTCCAGATATGATCACTCTCTGTAATTAATAATTAAAGAATTTATAATTTTAATGAGTAGGAGAAAAAAGAATATTGGTTATAAGTTTTGTTATTTTTACCAAAAACCGTAGATAAATAGAAAACTCTTAAAAGCCTTAAAAAAAACTCCTTTCGTTCAGTAGCACATCCAATAAACTATTTCTTTATGTTGGATTACAAAAGGCTTTCTAAAGGGCTATAACTTTTTTTTTTATTTATTGTAAAGTCGCTTATTTGACAACGTGTACGAATCTTATTTATCTAATAAATAGTATGAAAAATATTTTGTGTATAGTTATACAGATAAAAAGTTTTTGGAAAGGCCGATTAGGATTCATTTTAAGCACCCCTTAAAGTCAATAAAAACGAATGATTTTGGTCAAAAAAATAAAGTTCTCGGGTTGATTAGCCCGAAGCATATTTTAAATATCCGGTGTCCCGTTTTTTCATTAAAAAAGTGATAACTGCTCCGGATTTTTTTCAAATTCAATCTTGTTCTAGCTATCACAAGCTGGAATATTATACTTGCAGCCAGTATACTGAATATTTTAATTAAATCTTACTTAAAATAAGTATGAAAAATAAGGACGTATTCCATTAAAACTATTTAATAGTTTCATTTTAAATCTCTCGTTTATTTGCTGAGGCAAGTCAGGGAAATGAATTCTCATATACGCAATAAGACGGCTGTTCTTCAGGGAAGCATACTTGGTCCATTTCTATTTTCAACATACACTGCAGATATTCCTACACATGTTAAAACTTCAACACTTGCATTCGTTCATGATGCAGCAATTCTTACACGTAATTCGGACGCCTCAATTAACACTTAAAACACCTGAATGAATGGTTTACAAAAGAGAGAATGAAGATGACCTGACGATAAGCGTATAGATAAATTTGATCTTACGTAAAAATATCTGTGCTGTGAGTATAAGTGGAATCCTATTGCCTAAAACTGACCTTATTATCTTGGACTTTTCATGGATAAATGAAAAGACAGCAAACAAACCGACGTTATAAATTATTAAAAAGCCTACTTGACTCACGATCAAAAGTATTCAGAGGGAAGGAGTGTTGACACTGGGCAAATTCTCCTACATGAGTCTCAAACGACAAATTCAACACATATGCACTATATTTACTTAATACAATATTTGTTGTTGTACAATAAATAACAAATAAATCTAGTTTTTAAAAAAAAACTGAGGCAAGATTTGCACCAGTACACTTAGTTTATAAAGTTGTAACCATTTGTAAAGTTTCCGGATTTTTGAAAAACAGAAATGGGAAAAATTGAGAGAATTTTTTCCCACAAAAGCTGGTATTAAAAAATTGACTTGTGTTTTGCTAAATCATTATTTTAGCCAATTCTATCGCTTGTTCAAAAATACATTTTATACAATTTTGACGTAGTCATTGATTGGCTTTTCCTACGGATCGACATATATACAATGAACTTGATACATATTCCAAAAGGTAGGAACTTTATCAACCAAAACACTTTTTTATCGGGTTTCTAGTCCTCCACAAAACCCGTTGCGACCAAATAGCTTATTCTCAAAAGTTTGACATTGATATGCTGATATTAACCAGGTTGCTTCATTTGAATAAAAATATAAAATCAATAAAGATTTAGGCAAACAAGCATTATTGTACGAGTAATCAAAATATTGTTCCGTTTTTAGAGAGATTATGGTTATTATAGCTGATAAGAATAAATTTCACCCAAACGTGAATATTGACATGGTCAAACTCCATCTACTTAATATTTAAAGCAACAAATATTCAGCAACAATGTATGTAATTTCCCATTTTAAAAAGATTATGTTGTTATCTGGCATCAACTAAAATATTTTTTTATCGGTTTTCTAGTTCTTCACAAAAAGAACGCACAGACCGTTTCGACCAGAGTAGTATCACAGAAGTTTATTAGTTTCTCATTGATATGCTGATATTAACCAGGTGCTTCATTTGAATAAAAATACAAAATCAAAAAAGATTTAGACAAACAACAACAAAGCAAAGCCTTATACCACGAGTAATCAAAATATTGATATTAAACGAATCAACATTAGGACTCAGCCACCCCACCACAAATGAATCATTAGGTTTCTGTTGTTTGCATGCCATACA